CATGGCGTAAATGTGATTGTTTGCAGTAGTGGGAAGTAGTGTTTTTCGTGTCTTTGCTTCAGCTAGTACATGATCTAGGCGCCGCAGTGTGAGTTTTCATAGGAGGTCCTCGAAAGGTTCCTGGCAAAACTACACAGTTCCAGACAGGCAACGCCCTCTCCTAGTTACCAATCTGCTGCAGCTTCAGGTTGAATTGACTGGGCGGCTGATGCATGTCCCGAAGATAGGCAGGGTGCTGGCCTCAGCACCGTAATGACCAGCTTCTGGAAATGGAGGGTTACATAGATGTGGAGTCTAGGGTTGGGGGTTTAGCTGGTAGGGTTAGTCTGGTGCTGACAGGAACCACTTGCGGTCAGCTCTGCAGGCCGTCATGGGTTCAGGTAAGTTACATGTTTCAGCGCGGGCGTTGTAGACCCAAACCAGGAGCAACATGCTTGAGGGCCTCTGGGCTCTGTTCCCCAAGCACGGAAGAGGACAAGGTTTCAAGATTTTCGCAGTTCACGGCAGTGTTTGGTTCCATCCCACTACACTGCAAGGTGGGTGGGGGAGCGGGCTGAGGTTTCTTCAGATGAATTTCTGCTCCTCTTGCAGTCCACTTTGTGCCCATAATCTTCTATACAAGCCCCAGTTCCATGTCATTTGCAATGTTCCATTTCATTCTTCTCTAGTAGGGTTACAGCGCTATTTGGCCTTACGTAATCCAGTTATGTCTCCAAATATAACCTCATGTAATCCCTATGTAACCAGGAACTGACCACTGGTTTTTTCTGCGCAAACTATCTGGAGCTTGGCCACAGAAAAGGCCAAAGGGGTTGAACTAACAAAACCCAATCTTTTTAAAGAGCATTTTTTTGCTCCAAGACTTGAACCCAGATAGTTCCTATGGTCATCCCCATGGAGCACACTTTCAAACATAAAGCTTCTATGCACTGAACCCCCATTAGTTTCCTAAGCAGGGTCCACGGCACCCTAAAACCTAATCCCTCAACCTCAAAAGACGAATATGCAAAGAGCTACGATTTCCTGGCCTGGCCGGAGGGCTTTCTGACTGGATGGTGCAGTTTAGGGGTCCCATCTGGAATTTTGGAAACCACACATTTGGCTTTTGTGGGCTTGCAGTTTGCAGTTGGAAGAAGGCCCTATAGAAGACTCAAACGACGTCCACCGCCCAGACGAAAGCTGATCTGTTTTGTTTAAAGGAAACTACAGAGAAACGGCAGTCAAGCTGAGATGGGGCCAGATGTGCAAATTGAAGCAGCTAAAGCGATATAGACAAAGTCAAGGAAAGGCTAAATGAACGCCAAGTTGAAAGCTTCAGAAAATCTACTTCAGTTTCAGTGGGCTTTCATTTTTCTTGTTCGACCTTTTTAAGCTGCTGTTTGAATCTTTTCGGTGGGAAAGGGTAAATTCCGGTTCGGCTCAACCTGGTACCCGGATGAACAGGACATGGAGACAGGGTAAGCTCAGGTTGAGCAGAATTAAAGTCAAGTAGAAGTTCCCAAAGGGCGCACCAAATGTAATGAAGCTACTTGTTAGCGCAGTGTTTTTTTCCTTTTGTTTAGCTTTCGTTTGGTTTTTTGCTTAAGCCACATTTTCAGGCCACGTCCTAACCCTAAATGCCAAACCTGCGACATGGAAATCCAGGCCATGATTTCCATCGCTGCCCAGGGTGAGGGTGATCGGTCTGGTCTCAGCCCCAGATCTCGGGCAGTTGAGATTTTCAAGCGGGCGACTCAGGATATTACAGGTATTCAGTCGGATTGTGTGACGTGTAGGCCTTGGGGTGTTCATCTAGAAAGCTGGAGAAAACATTCAGGGTCCTTGTAGGAGGCACAAGTCTTTTTCGTAACTGCCTGATCTGGATCAATCGTAGAAATGCCAAAGAGGGGATCCCTGCCTTCGCCATGATCACCCCTTTCTCAGGCAAACACATATCAGGTAGGTAATTATTCTTATGCAAGAGAATGTAACGTATGAAGGCAAGTGGGCCTGATGGCGAGATTTGGCAAGATGTGCGCATTTCGCAGGTCATGGAAGCCTCAGTCTTAGGAAGTGGACGCACCAGGGCTTGTGCTTTGCAAGGAATGAAACATAGTTAAAATCCAGACTCCTGTTAGGCTTCTTCGGAAGCCTGGCGGTAGAAGCTCAACAAACTAGGAAATGACATGTGGGCTTAGGGTGACAAGGGTTGGAAAGGTGTGCACGTATTCCCCGGGCCACCTACAAGAGTCACCGGCAAATCCTTCGCTCCATTTCTAGCTAAACAGAAGATGGTAAAGCCCGGAGGAAACACCCCAAACCCCATGTTCTAGCCTTTTTTGAGCGGGGAGGCCCATCCCCTTTACACCAGCTTTTCGTTTCAGGCTTCGTGGATGTTGTCCGCAGCTGCATCAAGTTTCAGCGCTGCTTAGTTCAGGCCCAGGGACCATACTCGCTCTTTGGTGCCAGCAAGGGGTCTACACACAAATCTTAAGCGTGTGCGTCTTCGGGCTCCACGCATCGCAAAACCGTACACACAAATCTTAAGAGGGCTCTGTTCCAATATCTGGTGGGTGGGGAAAAGAAAGGCCACTTTCAGATCATGATGCATGTTGAGCTGAGAATTATTGCAGGGGTTACCCGAGCAACACGAAGACCAAAAGTGACTTGCAGTGGGGTTCCCAGTGCAGCAAAGTCAGTGTTACCTTCAATACGGCTCCAACTCATCAGTTTCGAAGTCAAGGACAACTGAGGACTGATGAGCCATCTGCAGCATGTTTATACTGCTAGTGATAATACTCACGACTATGACGTGTCTGCGTGATATTGAAATTGGAGTCGGAGACGCTCATGCTTTGCTAGCTGCGGCTTCTCGTCGCCCATGCCTGTCGAAGACTCATTGGCGCCCACGACATGCCGGACATTTGCAGGCGATGGATTTCAATGACTCGCCTCTGCTGCAGCTTCCCCATGTGAGGCCTGGGTCTGGTGGGTCTGGCAATCCGGAGTGCACCTAATTTCTGCTGGCAAGACCCGTAGGCCTGTTGCCCCAGGAGCTCCCAGTAGCTTTGACTTGCAGGGTCAGAATTTTTGTGGATGCTCAGATAAAAGGCAACTTGCGTTCTAATTCGCAGCATCGGCTGAAAGGAAAATCAGAAGCCCAAAGGAAACCATTGGCAAAGATGAATTTCGCCCTGACCGCCCTGACCCACTTATCTCCTTTGAAGCAGGTCAGCCCCCAGCAATGCTCCGACACTGCGAGAGGAGCGTGGATGGGGCATGGTTGTGGGGGGGAACATGGTTGTACGGAGCCATATGCTACTGCCTACACCTGTTTCTTGGTCCACCAAGGGTAGTAGCAGATTGCATTTGCAAAACGAGTAAACGGAATGCTCCAAACTGGCTCTGTCTCTCGCTATGAAACAGGTTTTATCTTTGACAGCTGGGCTGTGGCCTTTTCATTGACGCAAAGCTCCAAAGGGAGAGCAACACATTTCTTGTTCTCCATAAATCGTAGCTTCCACATACCACCAATCGAGGCATGGAGATCCACGATGATTTGGCCTGCTGAGATACTGCAGTTCCACTTCCAGCCAGTCGTTGAACTTGCGGAAATTCCCGTCCGCCCTGGAAACCTAAACCTTGATCCCTGCACTGCACCCTCAAATGCTAAGTCTAAACTTTACACCGTAATTCATGGTTGACCCTAAATCCCCAACCCAACCCGCCTCCCCTTCAAGCCTTCAAATGCTCCGTGGACAGGTTGTAAATTCAGGCGGCGAGCCCGCGCTGCTCCGTAAAATCGGCAACTTCTCACCTGAGCAGGTGTAGCCGGCAGCATAGGACCTCATGATAGCAAGAGGGATCGAGGGCTTCGGCTTTAGGGATCAGGGCTTTTCTCCTTCTCTCTCGCTCCCTCCCTCCCTCTCTCTCTCTCTCTCTCTCACTCTCACTCTGTCTCTCTCTCTCTCTCTATCTCTCTCTCTCTCTCTCTCTGTCTCTCTCTGCGGGTTTGCTTCTTTCCGGCTTGACGGTAAGGATGGTACAAGTAGTAGAAGGCAAGAGAAGCGCAATAGCTTAGAAGTTTTTGTAGTCATAGTGAAAATGATGGATAGGATGGCCCATCGTAACAGCAGCAGCGACGGCGGCAGCAGTATCAGCAGCAGCAGCAGCAGCAGCAGCAGCAGCGGTGTCACAGGCGGTGGCAGGCAATATGCTGACAGTAGCAAGAGTGATTGTAAGGAATATAGTAATTCGGAAAAACTTAAAAACAGGGGCCCCGCTAATTTACCCCCGAACAATGTAGGCCTTGTCATAGCACACCCAGAAGGCATCTGTCCTATGCCAGGTCTTGGACATCCAAGCCTTCTGCAGACATGCGCCCTTAGTGGAGCTCAGCTATGTTGTAGAGGCTGGGGGCACCGACATGTTCTACGGTATTAATGTTCTACGGTATTAATGTTCTCCGGTTAAACTCCTCAGGATGACCAAGCTCGAGTACTTGTGTTGTTCTTCGCATTCTGGTTGTCTTTGTGGTTGTGACTGCCGCCGCTGCCGCTGCCTCCACTTCTGCCGCTTCTGCTCTAAGGATACAGGAGAGAACCCTTTCAGCCTTAAGTGAATTACAGCATTTTGGCGTCGTCACTCTCGCCATTACCACTTGCTGTTGTTTTGGCCTTGCACATAGTTTAGTATATTCCCTAATATATTCCCTATTAATTACCCATGTCCATTACTCACTTGGGAAATATGGACTGTAGCTCATTTGAGGTATGGTCTAAACTCCTAGTATCCCCCTTAACAACCCCTACAGTACTCAGTAGTCCCCCATATAAACTCCCCCTTTAAGGGGTTTAGATTATGGCTCATTTGGTAGTTTCCCTAAATAGGGGGAACCCAATATAGACCCCAAAATAGTATAATCCTTATTGTTGGTACCCCCAAAATGGTACCCCTAATTTTGGGAAACCCCCATTTAAGGCTGTTTTGGCCTTTGTCTGCAGGTTAACGACGAGCCAGACATGGCAGAGGGCGATCTCGCGAGCCTCAAGGCGGCTGCTGGGCCCTGCTCCTTGAAAGGGCCTTTTTCTGGGTTGGGGTTTGGGGTTTAGGGTTTAGGGTTTAGGGTTCAGGGTTTAGGGTTTAGGTCTGGGTTGGCCTTTCAAAAACTTAAATATTTTCCCTAATTGGTTTCAGAAGGACCCTATATACTAGCATTTTTCAAAAGGTTCCAAAGGCCAACCAAGTTTTGGTACTGCTTCGACAAGGCCATTACCACATAATGGACCATCACATGGAAACGATTATATGGACATGATTTATAGGGGTTTACATAGGGACAATGGACAAGAACATGGAAGCTACTATTTAGGGTTGTGGGTTTTGATTCTCGGGATTTCAGCTTAGTAACGAGTGGAAAAGAACATGCAAACCAGGGCTTCAGAATTTTTTTGAGGTTAGATAGGCATCAGAGAGGAATGCTACGGAGAGTAGGATTGGATGCTATAGGGATTAACTACAGTTGATTTGGGCATTATATGGGACGCTACGGGAATGATGGCGTGGCACCTATGTGGTATCAGGAGTCCTTGGTTTAGGTCCGCGGTGCTCTGCTAGTTTTTGGCCAAGTTCTTGTCACTGACAGGTTTACGTGCTTCTCATGTTAGGAATCCTAGATCCAAACCCTTACTAGCTTCAGGGTCCTTCCCTGAAAGCACTTGCCAGATCACCCTCACGCGCTCAAATCTGGACGAGAACGAGAGTGTGGGTGCAGTCCATGCGCCCTTGTTCCCTGGAGCCAAGTTCGAGGCGAGCGAGCAGCAGCCCATGATAGATTATGTCAGGTGATGATACCATGATGCAGCTAGAGTATGTGGAGGCGTTGGGGAAGTAGTGATCATGGTGACACAGCCCTGAACCTGCGATTTGTGCTACTGCTCCCCTGGAAGCAAGAAGCCCTCAGATTTGGCTTTCCGTATACTTGGCATAAGCTTTTCTCCAAGCCTGGAAAGCATAGTTTGGCCTTGAACATGGAAAATGATATGGAAACTGGGATCATACATGAATCTGTGCCGAGCCTTTTTTGCTTGGAGTCCTCAGGGTTGGGGCTCCAAGCTTGGCGATAACAGTCGGTTTACGGCTTACTGTGACTATAGTGACGTAGAGTTGTATTAATACAATCTATTACATGAGCCCTGCTGACGATGATTGCTGGCAGTCAGGACGGCCTTCCCGAAGCAGTCCAATAAAGATGTTCTCTTGGTTTGTTCTGTAGACCTTAGGTGGACCCCCCACCCAGTAGTAGTGACTATAGGGGATAATAGGGATTGTATTAGGGTCCTCTTATATTCCTATTATACCACTATTACAGGGTGGGGGGTCCTAATGTAGACCTAGCCCCCAGTTTTCATGGTCCATCCCCAACTCTAGAGGAATGGTGGCTGCTGGTCTACGACAATCGTGGTCGGAGGCAGGCCGCAGGTCTCAAATCTACCTACAGGTTCCTGGTCGGGGACATCCGGGGATATCGTGGCAGCAGTAGATCTTGAAGAAAGACGGCTCAGCTTTTCGTGAAGCTAGGCGGCGAAGAGTCAATAATTTATCATCGGAACCTTCCTCCCGGCAAAATGATATCTCTTTCACCCATGGACCCATATCATATGAGCTATAATCTAGACTGCTAGTATCGCCCTTAATAACCTCCATAATACTCCCCTATATATCCCCCTTCTACGGAGTCAAAAGACTAGAGCTCCAATACAGCCCGAATTCTCTAAAACTCTAGTCGCCTGCCCTCCGGGCCTTGAAGTGACCCTGAAGCCCCGATTCCCTAAATCCTTGAACCCAGGCCATCAGGCCAAAACCTGCAACTTCAAGACCCTGAGCTCACTAGTTCATAGTAGGGAATAAGGGACTATGATTCCTATATAGTCCATATATAGTATAATCCCCTAATCCCTTCTAAGAACCAGTAGGTACATCAACGGACCCGCCTTACCACTGAAATCCTTTGACCCCACAGCTCGCCACCCCTGAAGGCTCATAACTTACAAAAGCTAAAAACCCTAAACCCAAAACCCTAAACCCTGAACCCTAAACCACCCCCCCTCCCTCCCCCCAAACAAAAACACCCTAAACCCTGCCAAGCCCAACTGCCAGGATGATAGCCACTGACATGATGCTGGGTACCGGCCGCACCTGCAAGAGCACCGTGAACTTTGTTGCCGGAGTCCAAGTATGTAGTTGTTCAAGGGTTCAGGCTTTTCACAGGTTTTGGGGTTTTCGGGTTTGGGGTGTATGAGGGACCCAAGGGAGAATGAGAGGAATGAGGGGGGCTCCCCTAAATGGTTACGCAGGACTTGTTTTCAGACATTCCCTGGTTTATTGCAAGACAAGACTATACAGGAAATGGCACAGGTGTTTCGATGCTGTATGAACTAGAGATACTGTTTGTAGTTGATGACAGATAGGTCTGCAGCGCACCTATTCCTTCAAGTTCCGCATGGTTTGCTGTCGCGTATGTTCGCACAGGGCATTTCCTTTTTGCGGGATGCGCCCTAGTAGCTTCTTGGGCTCAGGTAACTTCCCAATAATGGTGGGATACTACCCGCACTTGCTACCCTGGCTGGTCTGAAGACAGGTTTCAGGACCCCTGAAGCCGCGCCACCCCCGGCAGTCTCCTGAAGTAACACTCAACATCGAATGCCGGATCTTTGTAGACCGCTTTGATTTCAGAAAGGATTTTTTGTGAGGTTCCAGGTTAGTCAGTCTTTCGGGAGAGTATGAGGGAATGGCTTCACATAATGCCTTTAATCCATGCCCCCATTCCCTACAGCGCCCTAGGGAGTGAAACCATATCGCTTCTTCTGCCCTTCCGAGGTGCCACGTCCTGGAGATTTCAGCTGGACGGTCTACGCAATGTGTGACTCCTATGCAGGCGAAGGGCTTCATGCTGCATCCCTTTTAAGATCTAAGCTCCAAGCCGCCAGGTCTAGATACGCACTGCGACGTGCACTTCCGTGCAGCGAAGAAGAGCGAAGTTGACAGGCCGAATGTTTCAGCCGTTGATCTTCATCTGTTTTCACATTTGTTTTGTGGCACCGGCGGCACCGGTGGTACTGGTGTTGCTAGTAGTAGTGGTGGTGCCTGCTTGTGCTGGTGCAAGTGTTGCTGGGGTGGTGTTCTTGTTGGAGTAGTTGCTGTAGTTAGGGGAGTTTGCGCTCATGAACTTGCTGGGATCCGCATTTGGATGTCTGCAGACGTAACTCTTGGCGGAAGCTTCATTCTCTACATAGACATTGTGGTGCAAGGAGAGTTGACACAAATAGCTAAGCTTCAATAGCTGACTTAAGCCTAGGTCTGGAGTCTGATGCTCAATGCCAAACCCTCAAATTCTAAAGTCCAACATTCGACGCTCCTGCCCCTGACCCTGCAGCCATGGAGGTCCATCTTTGTCCATCCAGAGGCCTGCCCCCTGTCAAGGGTTCATTCGCTCTGCTTATTAGCGCTTCGGGTTGGGGGAGCAGGAAGGTAAGTCTCAAAGCGAGGCTATGAAGATTGCGGTGGTGTTGATTTGGAGGTTCGGCCCAGACCAGACATGGTTCTAAGATATTTCAAGCCCATGACACCGGAGCAGGGCAACTTTGGGCTGAGGCAAGCAGCATGATACGAATTTCCGCCACGGCAACATGCCGTTTGAGCTACAGTCTGAGCCTAGAACATTCACATCTCAGAGGCTGGTCCTACTGTTGTAGACGTAGCGAGATTTGACCACACACAGACATGCCGCCGTGGTCGGGACGCACCGTTTTGAACTTACCAGCGTAGATCGGACTACCATGCAACCCAGCTTGTTTGGAGCAACAAGGTGGAATCCAGTCTGGTCTGAGTCTGAATTCATTCTGGTCTCATGTTGCTCGCAAGTTCCTGTGAGGTCACGAGCTAATGATGTTTCTAAGCCCTAAAGCCCCAAACTCTGGGGCCAACTACCCACACCAATGCCACTAAGGATGCAGAGATCCGGACTTTGTTCGAAGAGCTCATGATGGGATTGGATCAGGCCAGTGCTTGCCAAGAAAGTGCAGAGTTGCGGTTTAGGGAGGAGATCCAGCACCACCGTGAAACCCGCGACGCGGTAGGTTGAACATTAGGTGGTGCAAGATGTCCTCCAGTCCGGTCGGACGTAGAATCACGAGACACAATCATTCCTGCGGGGAAGTGCTAAGCAGGTATTACGTGCAATGTTGCTTGACGCATGTTGCGCACGAGACGGTAAATTGAGGGGAGCGTCACATCAGCTTCCAAAGAGAAGTTCCTCCAACTCCCAGAGCATCCAGAAAACTTGCGCACATGTTCCTGTTTAGTGCCACTTTACGCTGCAACATCATGCTCCAAGCATGCCTCAAGTCCAGGACTTGCGGCCCACTAGAGGCTGTTCTTGCTTTGGAAGTTTCAGATATTTAATCCCCAGAGGAGGGAACTGGCTAGGGAAACACTGGAGCTGTGCCTGCAGGAACAAGAGTCCGATTCAGAGGAGGAAGAGGAGCCAGCATCAAGGGAAAACCAGATGTTTGGGCCCAAGCAATCCATAGTTGTTCTGTGCTTGTACGGTGTTGCAGTGTTACCTTCGGGGAACCCTGGTAAGCATTAATTAGGTCTTCACAACATGTTGGATCTCGTGAACCTCGGGGTTCAACCTAAGCAGCGCAAGCTTGAGGACTGCTAGGACAATGGCAATAGGAGGTCCTCGTCTCATTATAATCCCCATTTTTATTTGTTTCTTCCATGTTTGCCATATTGCCGCACCATAGCTGCTGCTAATTTGGCAATTGTGTCTGCTCTTCCGGAAGCTCGCCACGAAGCATGCAGCCGCATCCCGATTCCTGGCCTTTAGCTCGAATTGCAATTGAATCACTCCTGAGAATCCCTAAATGGTCCTTACGATCCCCTTTTGCACCTAAAGGGCCAGCAGCTTATGTACGCTCATGCCTTGATGTGCTGAACTGAGACTTCCTACATATCAGCAGCCGACAAAGCGGTATCAGAGTCTTTTTGTGAGGACACCGCCGAAGAATCGGACATGAATCCGATAATCGCGCATGCTGTTTCCGGAATCCCGCTAAACTGTGGCCCTAACCTGGCTTCTACACATGGAAATTCCTCCACAGTCACTTCACGGTCCGAGATCTTAGCTTCCAGGCAAAAGCGCGAGGCCAAGAAGGCCGAGAGCGCTAAGGCTCCAGGGGCCATATCTCCAATATTACTATGCAGGAGTGGGAGTTAGGTCCTGGATTGAATTATGCCGAATTACGTGTTAAAGGAGGCATTGGGTCCACTCAGATTCTATCAAGCTGTCTAGTCTTAAGCCAGGTCTTAAGCTAAGGCAGGAGCTGCCTGTATCAACTTAGCAGAAGGTGTGAGGCTCTCGTATTCGATGTGTAGACTTGAGGATGACTAGATGATTTGGTAGTTTCCCGAATTGGGGGGGCCCCATATGGACCCAAAGATAGTATAATCCTTATTATGCGGAAAAGTACGCATAATATAGGGAAAGCCCCATTTGGCGGCTGGAATGTAGACTGTAAGCACTGTAAGGCTTAGGCGTGAGGGACCTTTGTAGAGTTCTGTTGATTTTACCTTGGACCTCTACTACAGTTATGGGCTTTAGGACTACCTGGGGACTGCTACACCTCAGTGTTTAGGACCATTGGAATTCTGCAAGGGTTGTGTTTTGTGTGAAGGCGTGGAGTCTTGAGAAGCACCTACTAGTACACTCAGCAAAGCAGGGCATTTCTTCAGGATGGCCCATGAGAACCGGCAGAGTTCCAGCTCTTTCGGAGGTTTTGGGATGCGGACGTTTCTTGGGAGCTTCAATAGTAAAGTTTTGAGACTACCTGTGCATTTCATACAGCAGCGCCTCAGGCACTCTCTGAGAGTTCTTGCAGAGATTTCTGAAGCCTCCGCACTTAAGCTTATTCTGAGCATGTCAACAGTGGCGCATGCTGTTAGGTAGCTAGGGGAAGGAAACTGCTTGTGATCGTACGGCCGTGGATCCCTAAACCCTGAGGGTGCTAACGTCCACGCCTTAACTCCTCAGCTCCAAAGCCTTTACAGCCTGCAAACGCTAAATTTCTAAATGGAAGCTGCCAACATGTCCCTTGAAAGGCCGTAGAGGTCGTGGAAGCGGAGGTAGCCGATGCGGACGGTGCCGTGAGCAACGAGGTTGGTTTTTTTTTTGTTTTCCTTGTGGATTCTTTCTGGGGGTAGGTAATGGGACCTCCCTGGTGAGAGAGACTCTTTCTGAGACGTATTGAGAAGCACTCAATTGTGTCCAAAATACTGAAATGTACTGAAACTGTCAAGCCGGCATTAGCTGAACGCTTAGATGAAAGGCCTCGAAGTGTACACTTTGGGGTTTGAGGGCCTCTTTACACTCAAAGGGTTCTTCAATTAAGGGGGCTCTCCCCAACAACAACTTCACCCAACACCCGGCCTGCATCAGAGTGGCGGCTGCGGGGGGGGGGCCAATCAAAGTCCTTGCAGCACCGTTTACATGCCCTATTTGTTTTGCCATCGCTATCACGCGAACACCACTTCCTGCAAGGATAGTCATAGCAGCAAGAGGTACCAGCAGCAAGATTTAGCAGTAGCCCAGCCAAATCGGGTACTGCAACTGTCGGAGCAGCTGTCGTTTGAACTGCCATGTGGCGAAGCACAGGCCGACCTGAATTGGTTTCGCGAACAGCTTTGGGCCCCTGAAGCTAACACACAAAGCTGTTATGTCCCCAGAGACTGGAATCCTGAACCCCAAGCAGTTGAAACCTTCGACGACCCCCAAATTCTCCAAAGAGTTTATTAAAACAATGCGCCCTGCAACAATCAAAGTAGAGGGGTGTCTGAGAATCAGGAACTTCCATTATCTCGCCCCTTCTTGAGAAGACCCCAAGCTTAGGAACCCCACTAAGTAAGCTCTGACCTTCGTCTTTCAGTGCAGGAGCCAAAGGAGCCCGAACAAGCTTCCAAGTCCAAAGGCGAGTCCCGTGACCTACGCCAGATGGAGGAAATCTTACCTCACTTAGGATCGCCAAACAGTAATTCCTGGGGCTCTGGATATATGACATGAGGCTGTGCCAGCGTGTCTCCCTCCACAGTAGGAGCAGAGGTTACGCATATGCCTCACATGGGATTTACACTTCCAGTTGTAGCGCATGTAAAAATGCAATTTGAAATATCGAGAAGAGTAAGCAACAGACCGACTGCATGAAACAAGCAAGACCTACGTAAATGATATGACATTATGCGGCGGCGGCTGCTGCTGCTGCTGACGATGATGCTGCTGCTGACGATGATGCTGCTGCTGACGATGATGCTGCCGCTGACGGTGAAACAAATGATGATGACAATGATGATGGCGTTGATGATATTCACAAGGTTCATAAGGATGGTCGTGATAATGGTGACGATGTTGTAGCCGCTCTAGCTGCAGCAGAAGTCTTGTCTAGAAGGAGTAAGAAGGCCGGAGGCGACCAGGACAAGAAGAAACCTGAAAAGTGTCAAGAAGAATGACGCACATTCAGCCCAACATCAACCGTCATGACATGGCGCATGGACTGTCTCAACGTCTACCATCAGATGCAAATGATTCTAACCCAACGTCCAAACTCTGATTGACATCTGGCCCACCTCCGTATACATTGCTCACTCTTGGACAGAAACGAGGACCCGTGAGCGAGTTTGGGTTTTGGGGCTTTGTGCTTTGCAGGCTCTATTTCGGACGATGAGGATGAGGAGGAGCGGGCAATTCCTGAGGGAGTGTGTTCCCGGCTCGTTGTGAGGAAGCATGCAACTAGCAGCTAAAACAAGCGGTTGGGTGATCATCACAGATGAGCGGAGGGGCGTCACACCGACCCTACAAGAGCACCAAGGTTCAGTGTTTAGTGGGTAACCCTAATCTACAGGCATTTGGGGGCCTACATGCAAAGAAACAGGGCCTATAGGGTGCCTGCAAGTCTTCTATCATCAGCCGGGCCATGGTTCATCTCGACGAAAAGTAGAGGGCTCCCCTGATGCATATTATGGTGATCAGGGTTCCGATGAAACACTGCGACTCCTGAATTTTTCCCTTAGGGCGGCTTCAGATAGCAATGATGTTTCCCTTCCAGGGCTTGCCAGAGGCCAATCCTCCCCAGACCTTAATTACCTCTACACTTCAAAACGTTCCAATACTGATCCTTGGTACCTGGGCACCCCCAAAGCTGTGAAGCCATAAGCTCGAAACCCCATGACCCACGTGACAGGTTCATACGTGTTGCAGACACGACTGGAACCTTCCTCTATCGCGAGCCGGATGAGGCAGCCTTAGCTTTGGCTCCAGGATCTCAGATCCAGTGTGGGATTTTGGGATTTGCAATGTGTTTGTTCAGAGCCCTGTCATCTGTATCCCTTAGCTGATCCCGAGAGGCCCGCCCCAGCCATGTCTTCTGAGTGCCGCCCTTCACGCTAGTTTGGTTCCGCTGTCCAATCCAATTTGGCTAAATCTGTGGATTGGGTAGTGTTGAACTCAGCACGCGGCGTTGTGTCTTCATGCGATGTCGTTGCATGCGCCATTTGCCAGACTCCCTAGGAGATGACTTCAAGTAAATGTTGCTGCAGGGGTCTGTCACAACCATCTCTCCAAGGCTCCGTCATGATCACGCTATCCTTTTTGCAGCTCTGGTCAGAAATTGAAGCTATTATTTAAAGCCTCATTCTGATGGTTGTGATGTTGATTGGTCTTGTCATTCTTTGTGATCTTTGGACAATCCCTATGCTACTTATGGTTCTAAAAGCCGCAAATTCGAACCCACGAAGCTTGCTGAAAGGAGCCTCCATCACCAACATGCCCCCGCAAAAAAAGGTAGCCCCCATAGAATTGCTCATCCAAGACCTGCTTCCAAGAGACCGAATACCTCCCCCTAAGAATAAACCCTCCCACCACTAGTAATGAAAATTCCCCGCTACATATGATGCTAGCATGTTGGGGCGTTATTAGGGCCAGTAGGGGCTCAGATTGTCTGAAGCTGCAGATCTAGACGCGCCTCAGAGAAGATCCTCTTCCATTCCATCCCACAGAACAGGAGTAACAGTAATAATGAGAGTGCTGGTAACAATAATTCATAGTAAGTAATCGTAAGAGTAAGAGTACTAGTAATAGTAATAGTCACAGCTTGCAACTCGTCTATAATCCCTACATGTCCACAGGGTACCCTTGTTTTGACAACCACACATGTGGTGCCAGGATCCGTCCAAGCGAATAGGCTCCGTGCCCAAGGACACAGTGCTCAGAGGCGCCTTCAAAGCTTAGGGTTCAGGGTTTAGGGTTTAGGGGGATAATGGAAAAGAAGATGGAAATTCCTATTTAGGGGTTATATTGGGATAATGGAAAACAAAATGGAAACTCGTATCTGGTTTAGGGTTTAAGAGTTTGGGTTGAAGGTTTAGGGGTTGGGGTTCGGGTCTCAGCCTGATGAGGAGTTTGGATAGAGGGTTTTGGGTTTAGCAGTAGCAAACCTGGTTATAAGAACTACACAGAAATCATTTCAACGCCCAATCGCTCTAGTACCAGTAGTAGCCACTAATAGTTCTACTGCGCTCCTGCTGCAGCAATAGGCAGATTACCTGTGTACTTGGAGCATTGTAGTTTACTCGGTACTTTTCAGAAGGACTACTATCTTTTCTCCCATCGGCCCATAATGCGCACATGCGCGTAAATTTCCCTGAGGTCACTACCATCTTCAAGACACTAATCTCACATGAGTAGTGTGTTTTGCCTACTATATGAGGGTCCTATAGTTCCCACAATGTAAAAAAGTAAGCTTGCATATATCCTCCTCTGGGTATAGTATTGCAGTAACAAGAACAAGCATAATCTTACTTGGGTTCAACCATCCAAAATGCTAGTTGCATCCGCTCGCAGGCTTCACAGAAGGTCGCCCGGCAGGATGGTTGGAAATGACCAATTTGCCCGGTCAACCAGGAGATGGCTCTTTGCAAGTTTCCGGAGCTCAGGGTTAGGGTTTAGGGTTTGGGTTTTCTTTTCCGGCAACTGGAGTATCTTTGGGTTCTCTAGAGGGATTGGAAGGGGATAAAGGGAGGTTGCTGTTCAGGAGTCTAGGATATAGGGTCATTCTGAGAAAGTCCGATTTCTTGAAGCAGGGAGTTCCCGCATATCCCCCTAGATTACATTTTATTTCTTATCGTACGGACCCCACGGGCGACAGTAATTTGATCAACATCCTTGATCTTCTGCGTTGCCATGCCAGCTTAAGGTTTTGGAGTATGCTTTCGAAAATTTGGGTCCAGCGGGGAGTCGGGCAGGTTGTGTGAAGCTCACGCTTTCTCATGTAAGCAAATATGGGCAGTTAGATTAACGTCAACTCGTTATAGCGGCAGAAATCACACTTCTGAGAAACATGTGGTCAGTAGTTTTGCTATTGCTACTGATGCTTCTACTTCTTCTGCCGCACCCTAAGCCCAAAACCCTAAACCACCTAAGGGTCAGCATTCCTGTTGCAGGAGTGTGGGCTGCGACCTCAGGCTTCAGAAGTGGCGTCCATGATGATAGCAGGTCCTCAAGGCTCACTTCATGGGGTTATACTGGGATAATGGAAAAGAAAATGAAAACTACTATGGTATATTGGGGTTATAATGGGATAATGGAAAAGAAAAATGGAAACTACTATAATATTGGGGTTTATATAGAACAACTTAGAATTGTGGGTCCTTGCCAAGGTTCTCACAGAAGGAATCTGCATGTAATGAGTGCAAGAAACGGTGTAAACTTGTGGCACTCTTTTCGGAACCTTCCACTTGGACATGCAGGATGCTTTGGGAGGAGACCCTTCTACATTTCGAGTGGGTGAGGGTTGACGGTTGGGGAGTGGCTCATGTAGTCGAGTCGAGATTTTGACAGCCAGACCCCTGCGGCCTGGGCCCTTAGGCCTGAACCCAAACCCTTACTAAACTCAAAAGGCTGAACCCCAAACTCTAAACTCTAAACCAACCTCCAACCCCCCCCTCCCCCCCCCCGCCCCCCAAACAAAAAGGCTGTGAAGCGCATCAATGGGTGGTGCATAGTTCCTTGTGCAGAGGTGATAGTTTCCCAAAATAAAGGGACCCCAATGTAGACCCCAATATACTATAATCCTTATAAATGGGACCCCCCAAAAAGGTAGCCCTGATTTTAGGAAACTCCCAGGTCAAGCTGGATGGTTCTCTGACAACGGACCAGGAGGAGCGCCGCCTGCCGTCGGGATGCTTTTGCTTCCTTTATGGGGCCTTCTATAGGGAATAGGGTTTAGGGTTTACGGTTAAGGGTTTATAGGGATAATGGAAAAGAAAATGGAAACTAAAAGGATTATAAGGGATTATATAATGGTTATAGAGGGATTATAGGGGATTTTATAGGGAATATATAGGGATAATGGAAAAGAACATGGAAACTACTGTGGTATATTGGGGTTATACTGGGATAATGGAAAAGAAAATGGAAACTACTATGGTATATTGGGGTTATAATGGGATAATGGACAAGGAAATGGAAACTACCATAATATATTGAGGTTATAATGGGATAATGGAAAAGAAAAAGGAAACTACTATAATATATTGAGGTTATAATGGGATAATGGAAACTACTGTATTATATTGGGGTTATGATGGGATAATGGAAAAGAAAATGGAAAATACTCTAATATATTGAGGTTGTAATGGGATAATGGAAAAGAAAAAGGAAACTACTATAATGGATTGAGGTTATAATGGGATAATGGAAAAGAAAAATGGAAACTACTATACTCTATTGAGGTTATAATGGGATAATGGAAAAGAAGATGGAAACTACTATAATATACTGAGGTTATAATGGGATAATGGAAAAGAAAATGGAAGCTACTGTAATATATTGAGGTTATAACGGGATAATGGAAAAGAAAATGAAAACGACTATACTATATTGAGGTTATAATGGGATAATGGAAAAGAAAAAGGAAACGACTACAATATATTGAGGTTATAATGGGATAATGGAAAAGAAAAATGGAAACTACTATTATATATTGAGGTTATAATGGGATGAGGGAGAAGAAAAAGGAAACTACTATAGTATGTTGGGGTTATAGTGGGATAATGGAAAAGAAGAAATGGAAACTACTGTAGTATATTCGGGTTAATATTAGGGATCATGGAAAAGAAAATGGAAACTACTATAATATATTGAGGTTATAATGGGATAAGGGAGAAGAAAAAGGAAACTACTATAGTATGTTGGGGTTATAGTGGGATAATGGAAAAGAAGAAATGGAAACTACTGTAGTATATTGAGGTTATATAGGGATACTGGAAAAGAAAAAAGAAACTACTATAATATATTGAGGTTATAATGGGATAATGGAAAAGAAAATGGAAACTACTATAATATATTGAGGTTATAATGGGATAATGGAAAAGAAGAAATGGAAACTACTGTAGTATATTCGGGTTAATATAGGGATCATGGAAAAGAAAATGGAAACTACCATAATATATTGAGGTTATAATGGGATAATGGGCAAGAAAATGGAAACGACTTAATATATTGAGGTTATAATGGGATAATGGAAAAGAAAATGGAAGCTACTGTAATATATTGAGGTTATAATGGGATAATGGAAAAGAAAAAGGAAACTACTATAATATGTTGAGGTTATAATGGGATAATGGAAAAGAACAATGGAAACGACTATAATATATAGAGGTTATAACGGGATAATGGAAAAGAAAAATGGAAACTACTATAATATATTGAGGTTGTAATGGGATAATGGAAAAAATGGAAACTACAATAATAGATTGAGGTTATAATGGGATACTGGAAGAGAAAAAAGAAACTACTATGACATATTGAGGTTATATAGGGATAATGGAAAAGAAAAAAGCAACTACTATAATGTATTGAAGTTATATAGGGATAAAAGAAAAGAAAAATGGAAATTGCTATACTATAGTGAGGTTATATAGGGATAATGCAAAAGAAAATGGAAACTACTATAATATATTGAGGTTGTAATGGGATAATGGAAAAGAAAATGGAAACTACCATAATGGATTGAGGTTATATAGGGATAAAAGAAAAGAAAAATGGAAATTACTATACTATAGTGAGGTTATAATGGGATAATGGAAAAGAAAAAGGAAACTACCATAGTATGTTGGGGTTATAGTGGGATAATGGAAAAGAAAATGGAAAATACTCTAATATATTGGGGTTATATAGGGATAATGGAAAAGAAAATGGAAACTACTATAATATATTGAGGTTATAATGGGATAATGGAAAAGAAAAAGGAAACTACTATAATATATTGAGGTTATAATGGGATAATGGAAAAGAAAAATGGAAACGACTATAATATATTGAGGTTATAATGGGATGATGGAAAAGAAAAAGGAAACTACTGTAATATATTGAGGTTATATAGGGATAATGGAAAAGAAAATGGACACTACTATAATATATTGAGGTTATAATGGGATAATGGAAAAGAAAATGGAAACTACTAGAATTTACTAGGGTGTATATAGGGTTTTATGTATCTTGGGATTCCAATGCTCCTTCTTTAAGTTGTGGGACTGTTGTGTGGGACTGTTGCGGGATCTTACAGCAACAACAGCTGGAATCTTTTGGCATAAGCCGGGGAGCATATTCATGTGAATATCAATAGTGTGCTGCGGGTTAAGCTTGTTTTGCAAAGATGGCTTTCCATCGTGCCCACCCTAGCATAGCAGACTGCAGATCTTTGAAGGCACCTTCCCAAGTTTCTCATTTTTGTAGGAGCAGGAAGGGTGCTAGGACTCGAGGCTTTGTGCTCATACTCCTTTACGAGCACTTGGGTCTGTAATCCCACGCCGATCCTTCAATGCATCGTAGGCTTTCTGCAGATACGATTGCTAGATGAACGCGACAAGTCCCCACATGCTACTCCCATAGTCCTAGCGGCGGGGGGGTCTTTGAAAGGCTCATTATTCTTATGCCATGTTACTTCAATCTTCCAAGGGTAGCCTGAACTTTGAAAACCTTCACATGCAAGCGTACTACCTGTAGAACCTTTCAACTCATGGAACTTACCCACGTGGGCGAGACTGCCTTAGGACCCCTTGAGTGGGCCAATTTCTTGGAAGGAAATCTGGAGGGTTCCAATAAAGTCATTCTTGCTGTAATGCAGAAGCCTCAATAGTTATCAACGTTACCCCCTCAGAATTATTCTGTCATTTGCTACAATTTCATTTGGACTCTCACCTTGGGGGCCCCTGCCTTGAATCGGTTGCCAGAACACTGTTCCTGGGCTGCCGGTCGAGCGTCGTGCTCCCAGGGTATGCTGGGGCGCAGGGGCTGATATGACCCTTTCTCTGCACTCTTTTAAGGGGCCGAGGGACTTTGACTGTGGTTCGCAGCGAAGCCTCGCAAGTTTCTATTCAGTTCTGCCAGACGCGATCCGCGTGTATATCAGTTACTTCATTGCTAGCGGATCGTGAAGTTTCAGCCCGGGTACAAGGCAGCTTGTAGATAAGACCTGGTTTACACATCCGGCGAGCTTTCAAGACTTGGCGGCCCAAAAGATTGTCTGGATCAAGCAGTTCCCCCCATCTTGAATGATCAGCTGGCCCTCATCATCCCTTGTACTGCTGCTAGATAGCTGTGCCCTGCGGAACTGCTTTACTCCATAGTATGCATGGTACTTCTGGTGGTGTAGCATTCAGTCTCCAAAGCCCTGAGCTCTTCAAGCTAGACCGCTAGAACCAGTAGGTGAACTCTGTGTCACCGTAGGCCTTGACGGGCTCACGGACCTTAGCCTTGGAGATCTTGCAGTGGCCTTAGCATGGAAGTGCAAGGGCCCAAAAGTTCCGCTTCCCGCCTCGAGCGCTTTCTGTCCTCAGCACCTTGCCCTCTAATGCACCTCCTGGCCGCGAAATCCTATAAAGCATCGCCTTTGACATAGGGACACAAGCCTGAGACTACACTGGCATGAAACTTTGGGTGCACGCATAGCAGAGCTCTATGTCGAGACATGACCTCGTGCTCTGCATGGTACCCTCCACAGGAAAGACCCTGGTGTTGCTTGTTGGTTGGGATCCCACAATTTGGTGCAGGTGAAGGCACACGTGCCTGTGGCCCTCCTCAAGCGCTGGACTGCCATAGGGTAGAGTAGAGTCCCAACAGGGTTCATCAGATGATGTTGAATTGTAGAGCAGGGTCGGAGAGTCTATGCCGAAATGGGGTTGATAGTCAAGGATGCAGTGTGTATGCTTGGTGTCCTGGGAAGGAACGAATCTTGAAGGATTTTGGGAAGTAAAGGGCTTGGCTCCTGCCGTGTAGGCGTCCATTAGTACTCCGTTCTTCTTTATGTGAAACATCCTTGCCACCCCTAATAATACTAGGGTATATTATATATTCTTCCCATAAAGATGACTGGCATGTTAGGAGGACCTACAAAGATAGAGCCGGCAGCTTCTCATACCTCGCAGTGAGGTTGAAGCTAACTCGCCAGGCTGAAGTTCCCAGAAGATTTATGATATGCAGATTCTGAGGTCGAGGAAGTACATAAGCTATAGGCTCTCAAAGGGGGCCATTTAAGGGATTATATATGTGACTACTATAGGGTTATTAAGGGGGCAAAGTTCTGCAGGCTAAAAGCCACAAAGAATCGGCACGTTCGTCAATCCACTTACAGGGTTTCATGCGACTGGATGGGCTATATGCCAGAGGGGCTTAAACCGGAGACAAGGGCCTTTGATACAGGACTATGCTTTTCAGAACGGGTTCAGGTTGGAAGCTACCATGACCTCCTAGAAACTTTTGAGTTTCCTCGCACACTTGTTGTAACAGTCTAAAGGTCTCCGACTAGGTAGCTCTCCTCCGTGAAGCCTACCTTGTAGTGTGCACAGCAAAGGTCGCTGCTTGGCTCAGCCACGTGGCTGACAGTAGAAGCATGCAGCGAGCTTCAACAAACACTGCCATGAAGGCATGCAAAATGGCATCTGCCGCATGTGCCCTTGAACTTAGCTGACCCCGAGTCCCTCTGAAGCTTCTCAGAAAGGGCTTCCCAGGGACGTGTGGTGAACGTTTGCGTGGGTATTACGGAAGAAGAGCACTACATCATCAGGACATGTTTAGCACACTGTTCCAGTTGATCTCACAAACACCTCTTTTTCGGCCGAGGTCCATGAACCCCACAGCTCCAGCAACGCCCTCCGAGCATCAGATTTTTCAGCCGATATACATTGGTATTTCCTTGAAGCTGTTGCGTGATAAGCTTGACTCGCCACCAGCGAGCTGCGCGCACGATGGCCTCGGAAATTCTGACCCTCGAAAAGCAATAACCATGGGTGCCAGCTTTACAGGAACAGGTATCTGGGTAGTTTCCACTTTGCAATGGGGGGGGGTCCTCTCAGAATAACATGCACTGGGGATCCGAATATGAGGATTATGGGGGGTGCTGATCAGGCATCATGAAAAAGATACATAATCATGATCGGACCTGCCTATGAACATTCCTTTAATGTCTGTTTTCAGTTGTGGTCACTGAACCTAAAGTCCCTAACATCAATATCCTTCGACTTGAACGTTGGAGCTGATAAGGACGAAATTCTCGCCCGATTGCGGTGCATGCGAGATCACATTAAACCGCCCAGACAAGCTGAATGCGCTCAACTTGAATATGCTTCTTGGCACATGGTCTCTAGGGGTATATAGGGATACATATACATATACACATAGGGTTTAGGGTTTAGAGTTTGGGGTTAAGAGTTTGGGTCTTGGCATTTGGCCAGGCTTCAAGTTGGAAAGGGGATAGGAGGGGCAGATTTTTGTTTACTCTGGTTCATGGTTCACTGGATGCACAGGCCATATCTTTGAACAGAACTCCCTTGCGAGTTTTTTTTTCAAAATTGCCTCTGCAGGAGCGGCCCTTGTGATCTCTTTGAAGCTGTAGGGGTCCCCAAACCTCCACCGCCCCTGTTCAAGAAGCTCAAAACCCCAATTCCCCAAACATACATGTCCATAGGGGTACCGCTTCAAGAAATGCTTCTGCAAGGATTCGTCGACTGCATGAAGCTGTGGACAAGGTGGATGCAAAGTCGGGCAAGGCAGGGTTTCGAGTTTACGGCTTGTAGGGAACAGGAGGGTTACATGGGGAAACATAGGGTTATATAGGGATAATGGAAGACAACATGGAAATTACTATTTAAGGATCGTTTATGGTTTGAGATTTAGGGCTTAGGGTTTTCGGCTTTGGATTCTGGCTCGCGGTCGAGGAAGGAGAAGGACGAGCCGAGCACCAGGCCAGATCACACGCGGAGTTTGCTTCTGGGATCAGGTAGTCTCGTTCAACAACTTCTTGGCTATCAGGTATCATAGTTAATATTACCTTTGGTATTACTACCATTATAATTGTGATTATTGTATATATATATATATGTATTACTACTATAAATATTAGTGTTATTATGCTCAGTACTTTTACTGTTCTATTATACTATAATAGTAGTATAGTCAGATTTTTTTGTTGGAGGTTGGAGTGGCGGGTTTGTCATTCGGGGGGAGCCCAAGCAAAAAGGTTATTCTAACCTTGGGAAATGGAGGATCCCATTTCTATAACACGGAAGATGCCCAAGATTTCCATAAATGGGAACTGTTCAAGACCAGCGCCTTGAACCTTCCAAGACATAAGTTTTTCAAACTCACACAAGTCAGTAGACTACACTACACTACATGACACTACGCTACTCTGCACTGAACCTCCAATCCTTGACCCTCAGCTCTAAGTCCTAAACCTTCGACCCCAACTGCGGAAGCCTTAAACGCCCAAGCTTTGTAACCAGTATGCCCCAAATAACAAGGGCCCAACCCTTATAAGACAGATGCCCTTAAACCTGGCCCCGAAGACCGGAACCCGTTGGCTCCGACGCAAGGTGGGATGCCTCATCATGGATGGAGCCGGTGGCAAGGCCTTCTGTGCAGGTGGGGACGTGCAGATGATCCGCGAGGACCTGACGGGAAGGGCAGGCACTGCTTTAGAGCAGTGTAGGTGAGCTGCAATAGCAGCATTAATCAGCAAAGCCATTAGCAAAGAACTCTAAGAACAGGAGAAAAAGTAAGGCCCTGCTGTACCCTGGTTATGTAGGATGTTGGCTGTTGGGGATGAGCGCTAACATTGAAATCCCATACCCTAAGCCTGAATGCAAGGTTCAAGTCTAAACTCTAAAGCCCAAGAGGTTACCCATGACACCTCCAGCTGATCCGTGCTCCTAAACCCAGGAGGGTCTGGCTGGCGGCTCCCTCCCGGCGGATTTCTTCTTCGAGGAGTGACACGGCGGCAAACACATGAATCCCGCAGAACCCCCGAGCCGGACACAGCAGACCCAACAAGAAGTGGTAGCGCTGGCTATCCAGTAGTCCGTCCCACACAGATTCGAAACTCCCTTCTGGCCACAATCAGGATTCAGAGAATGGGAACACTCCAGGATGGGTTGCTTACAAGCCGTTCCCGAAGTCTGCACGCCATGCAGGTACGGTATTGTGTTCAGACTGGCGACGCTCTTCGATCGAACAGGCTCCGCGTTGCTGAGTTGGCAAAGATGACGCCGCATCACACACCTCCGCGTAGCGGAACATGTAATGGGAGCATTGCGGCCGTGGCCAAACACTGCACCTCAAATTGAGAGCAGTTGCATGGCAACGTTTTCATCTATGTCATACTTGCTGTGACGGGCTGCAAGTGGAGCTGCCCAGAGCCCCAAACCTTCAAATCCCGAAGGCCTAAATTCAGCCTGTGCCAGGCTGCTGTCAAGTGAGCCTTTTTGATGGAATCACAATGGGCGGTGGTGTCGGGCTTTCCACGCACGGCCCGTTTCGCATCGTCACGGAGAAGACACGTTTTGCCTGGCCCTCGTTGTTCTTTTGAGTACGTATAATGGTAGTGGAAGTCGGCAAAGTGATGGCAACAGGGTCTGGGCTGATGACAGTCATACTGTATACTTCATTATGTTTCCGCACTTAGGATCGGATGCGGCTTGAATTTAAAGCGTGGGGATCTAGCACGATCTGCTTTCAGGCACGCTTTGCCAACTTGACCCAGAGTGCAGAAAGACGAAAGACACAAATGGCGAAGCATCCTTTCCCTTACAAAGCTGATCTCATAAGATCTGGACAACTTGGCCCATCTAAGAAAGCTTGAGGGGGGGGGGACGGGCTAATCCTTGGTGTAATGCTCGAGGAACTGTGAAGTGTCAAGTGCTGTCTGTACGAATTTCCTCATGCTAGTGGTTGCGTGGGCTTTGTTGTGCTTTTATTCCTTGAATCTGCGGTTCTTTGTCTTCTCACTTCTTCCCACTGGTTGCCCTAATAATTGCTTTACTGTATCACTGTCTTGATCTGCATTCTCGTGAGGGAATTTTCGTGGTCAGTTAGTTTCGCAAGTCAGGCCATGCCCGAGATGGCCATTGGGCTCTTCCCTGATGCTCCTGGGCTGACACGCCTAGAATGTCGCTACAGTTCTTAATCACCCCCCAATAATAAATGTCCCCAACATAGTTCTACTATATAACTTGGGGAATATTTATTGCTGTTGTTAGCGAGGGTGCATATCATGAAGCATCGTGATATTCAGCGGTATTGGAAGTGAGTATCTCCTGAGGTTTGGCCACGTGATCTAGAATGATAGAACGTGAATGGTTTTCTTTTCCTTGCTGGGGGTTACTAGGCAATAAGGCAATAGTGTATATGGTGATTTACCACCAGTAAGGTTGGTAGGTCATAGGCACCAGACTGCAGCGGAGCCTGGCTGTGTTGTTGGATTGAAATATAGGGAGGGTTATACTTCTGTACTTGGCGATTTTGTTCTACATCCCCCTCACCTTGCAAAATAGACCCAACCCAAATTTGACTTGATCCGGGTTTATAATAGCCCAACTTTGAGGAGGGGGCAGTAAGAAGGGGCATAGCAAGCGATTCCCGAAGTTTCGCAGGTTTTGACGAAATCCTGGCTGTAACATGACCCGCAGATGGGATTCTTCGCAGCCTCAAGGTCCCAAGGCAGTGCTAAAGCTTGTACCGATTATTGTTATCATAATTATTATTGTTATTTTTATTTTAATTATTGTTATTACTATTATTGTTATCATTATTATTGTTATTATTATTATTGTTATTATTGTTATGGTTGATGGAAGTTCCTCTTCTAGGATATCCTGCGCACCCCCGACCTCTCCAGAAACACCCTATGCGGTCATTTACCAGCGCCAATTGATATTCCCCTTTACTGTTGGATGCGGGTTGGATGCGGCAACATGAAACCTAAGGACTCAAGCTTGAAATTTCATTGTCATCAATTCTTTCATATTCTTGATCCAGGATTTTATTTTCGGGTCGGCTGTTTGCAGGATTTGATTTTGTGCATGTTTTTGGCCCCGGTGGAAAGGAGAACACAGGAAATCTTGTGTCAGTAGATGATGAGCTTGGGGGCCGGGCCGACAGGATTTTTCGGTGTGCTGGGCAGCTTCCCACTGTGACATTTCCGAGACAAAGACGACAAAGTCTGAGCCTCCCGCTGTGATAGTAGGAGGCGAAGGCTGGCGATGACAGCGCTTGAGAACGCATGCTAAAATTTTGGGTTTGTGCCTTTGTCCTGAAGGATTTCATGTCAGGCCTCCGGTCCGCGCCAATGCCCCATGAACACTTGAAATCGGTGATTCCTGGGGCCCCAGCCACTTTGATGTGTATTCTCGAATGCCCCTCATGTCCCAGGAATTTATCCAGAGAAAATCCTGGGGACATCACCCCAATTATGTCCAACCCCTACCTGGTGGATCCAAGAGGAGCCCCAGCCTGGAGAAATTCCAAATGTCATTCCTGTTGACTAGGTCGCAAGCAATCCTTGCATAACTCCAGGGTATAACCCCCACTACGCTGAGCCCATGTACTCATCATGTAACCCCCTTCTACCCGAGACTTTAAACATAGGCAGCATCCTTGAAATTTGGACGGAAGCATTGAACCTGAACCCGGGGGATTACAGCTGAAAACCCTCACCAGTGCACAGGCCTCTGCAGCAGCCTCTCCAGAGGTATCACGGTCTGGTCCGCTGATGGCGTGTTTTGAGGTGTCACACGGTCTGGTCCGAAAAAGGGGGGTTTTGAGGGGTCACGGTCTGGTCCGCTGATGGCGTGTTTTGAGGTGTCACGGTGTGGTCTGCTCACGGCATGTTTGGAGGTGTCACACGGTCTGGTCCGCTGATGGCGTGTTCTGAGGTGTCACACAGTCTGGTCCGCCAATGGCGGGCTTTGAGGTGTCACGGTCCGGTCCGCTGATGGCGTGTTCTGAGGTGTCACGGTCTGGTCCGCTGATGGCGGATTTTGAGGTGTCACAGTGTGGTCTGCTGATGGCGGGTTTTGTGGTGTGTGGTGTGGGTCCTGCACAAAGTATCTCAGGCTTTTGCTGCGTTGCGGCTGCAACTTCTGCATAAAGCTCTACAGTTTGTGGCGGCACTAAGTTCACGTACATTGACAGGCATTCTACGTGATTTGAAGTCTTGAGCCCAGCATGCAAGAACAGGCCGGGCTCGTTTCCAGCCTTCTTAACCTTGCATAAACAGGAATGCACCAAATTAACGGTAAAAGTTCTGTAGGCGTGTCTGGGTTTGTAGAACAAGCCAGGTCAACATGATGCGCATCTTCTTGACAAGTTCCTACAGATTTTTTTTCGTTCCGCGAATGGCAATCCTCAGAAATCCTGCATTCTGCAAGGACCCCGTCATCATATCCCGGGAAAGCTGTAGTGCAGTGCAAATCAACCACAGCTTAACAACAATGTCCACCCGCAATGGTGGGCTCTTCAGCTCCTTGAAGCTCGGAAACTTCTTCGTTACGGCTCAGCTAAGGTTGGGGCAACGCAGCTTCTAGGGCGGTTGAAAGCTGGTGCGGCAGTGGGCCGCCATTTGCACGCATTGGCTCACGGGGTATTATGGGGTGGCTGATGCCTTCATATCTAGAAGTTACGGATGACCCCAACTCTACGTCATAAGGAGCCCGGAGGGGATCTCCAATTCTGATACCCCCCCATCAATCCCCAGACCCAAAGATCCTAAACCCGAAGCCCCGCGTTGTGGACAGTCTTCCTGGGCATCACGGGCACCAATATCTCTGCCTGGGACTGCCTCAAGGCAGGCGTGCGGGGCTCAGACTGCCAGAGATGGAGGCAAGGAGGGAGTGTAGAAGCCTGAAGAATCCGGAATCCCGATACTGGCTGTGGCGTGTCCAAACATTGTACAGGGGCATAAAGTTTTAAAGGGCTTGGTTTAGAAGCCTGAACAAATACTAACATTATTCCCGTTTTATCCTTGCATGCTGATATTTCAGTATATGTACCACCCAAACACTTTTCCAGCTCTTCCAGCCGCATGAATTACGGCTAGTCAATGAACATGCAGAGGTCTCACCCGCTTAGAAGTATATGTCGCCCAGGAACCGCAATAAACTCACTTTCCAGGTCGCAACGCACTATGTGCCGTCAGCTCGCGCCACAGATGCGCTTGGGAGGACTTTTGAGTCATGTTCAATTCCTTTTGGGTCTTCACACAGGCTGAGGTGCACATGTTAACCTGGCAAGCCTGGCTGGCGTTTGGCACTTAAATTCTAGGATCCTGGTTGCCTTGTCTTCCAATGAAGGATCCATAGCTCTGAGAAATTCCTATACCCCAAAACATTACGTCATTAAGCCCTCAATTCAGGACCCTCAGCCCAACACCCCCCAACCTTAAAATTTAAAGCCCAGGCCCAGCAAAGCCCTAAAGGCACAACCCACAAGCAAAAGAACAGCTTTCAGGTACTGTTTTCCTGAAGCCAAGGCTTGCAGGAGCTCCAAGAGAAGCTCCTCGCCAGGCTTCGAGGGTCTCTAGAGATGTAATGTTGAATTTTAGAATTTGGAGGTTTCCCAAAATTAGGGGTACCTCTTTGGGGGTGCCTATAATAAGGACTACAGTATATTGCGGTCTATATAGGGGTCCCCTGATTCTGGGAAACTACTATATACTAGTTTCCATTTTAGTTTCCATTATCCCAACATCATCCATATAACCCCTATCTATACCCTATTATAATGCTGACTAGCTAGCATTATTTCTCCCACTCTGATCCTTACATAACGATACGATGTTAGACCCCAAACCTCTGCTCTTACCGTACACATTGCCGCGGCGCCGTAGCAGCCTTGAGTAGCCATTGCGCAACATAGACTGGCAACATGTGCTCTGCATGTGCAACAGATCCCGTTACGATCAACCCCCTTGTCAAATTGTTCTAGTTGTGAAATGTTTCGCGACAACGGGTTAGAGACGGCCGACACAGGCTTGCGGTTAGATCCTCAACCATACTGTAGACAATATGGCGCTTGTACTTGAACATCGTTTTAGGTGTTCGAGAATTTTGAGAGGGGTTCATATTCCCCTGTTCTGTTTCGGGCGTTCTCCTGCCGTCTTTCCAGGCATGGGGTGCCCCGTACATACCCCAAAAAGAGTCCTATCCTTCTCAGACTGACTCCAGAACTCTTTTAAAAAAGGGACCGTCTTTGTGTCTGTACATCAATGCAGATCCCTACGTAGCCCCCCATATTTATGTTCTGAGTAAACTCCATGTCCCGGCCCCAAATTCCAAAGCATCAGCTTTGTGAGCAGGTTCAGAGCCGGTCTGGTGGGGGAGCCAGCCATGCAGCTCTGCGAGGACCCAGCTTGGGATGAACAGAGGGGGTTATAAGGGTTTAGGGTTTAAGGTTTAGGGGGTTATATGAGGGATTATATAGCGCAGTACTATAGGGGGTAGTTAAGGGGGATACTAGGAGTTTAGATTATAGCTCATATGAACAATACTGGATGCTACTGCACTGGAAAATCAAATGGAAGAGAAAATGGGAAATCAAATGGAAACTAGGATTATATTGGCTTCAGGCTTGGGGGCTTGTATATGCTTACAGCATTTCAGGGTTTTGGTTGGGTGGCGTGGTGTTTTTGCTCCTCCACCCAAATTTGGTAGCAAGGCGGGGTGCAACAAATCTGGACAGTGATTCTTCGGCGACCTTTTAAACTCGCACTCCACATGCTTCGTCATCGAGTACCGGAGCCCTTACACTTGTGGCAACACCTCGACAGGGAAGGAACATTTTTCAAGAATGGGAGGTACCCTTAAACCACCCAAATACTGCAAGTCCTGCTACAGATATGATATAGTCCCCCTCAAGTAGATAGAATATGGGGTATATGGGGATCTTATTATAGTATAATATACCCAAAGCCCTATCTGCCTAAGGGGGACTAGACCCCGAAAGTCAACCTCAACTCTTGGAAGCCGCGGCGTAGAGACATAGTGCTTCCGAAAAAATAGTTGCTTGCGCTTCTCTAGCTGTCTTTCCAGGTGTTGGCAAAGCGCCCAAATCTACTATAGTCTAAACTCATTAAAAGGGGCTATACCAGGGATTAAAAAGGGGAGTATTATAGGGGTTATTGAGGGGGATACTAGGATTTTGGCTTATAGCTCAAATAAAGTGGCCTTCGTGGGTTTTGAGGCGCTTCCGCGAAGAGGTATCCTGCAAGGGTGGGAGCAATTTGTGTGTTGGTTGGCTTATCATACTCAGGCAATCCCGCAATTACTTCTCAATACTTGACGCAGCTACAGCTTGTGACAGCGTTACATTGTCGCAGAATGCGCAGTCATGGGATCAAATACTTGAGTTTCCAAAAATAAGGTTTGGCTTTGCAGGATCTTGTAATAAGATCCTGACTTTGAATCCGCTTGGTAGGACATCATCCGGGAGACCAGCGATGCGTCGCCATCATCCGAGAAGTGCATTCTTTCGGATGAAAACCTTGCCGTCATCAACAGGCACAGCCATTTAGTGAGAATGTCAGGAGCATCACGCATAGTCTTGCAGCTTGCCCCCCTCCGGTCGAACCTCCAAAGATTAAGAGCTTCTGGGTGCAGGTGCTTCAATTCATCCACCGTGGAGGAATGCTAAGCCTTTGCGCTTTGGCTGTGGTGTCCTGGATCCTTCACATACCTTTGAGTTGCTCACTTTCCGGCTGTAGGAACTGTGGTAGCCGCGACAGGAATGACATTAATCCTGAAGCCTTGAGTATAAATTCCCAATTCTTTGTCCATAGTCTGTACTTTATCTGAAGCTGCAATTTTCGACACAGCCGGCCCCTAAACCCGACATCCGCCAGGCGGCCAGCACCTTGAAGGTCGTTGCACTGCCTCTCAAGTTTAGCATGCAAGGAAGACAAGTAAAGTTCAAGAAGCCTTGAGTTAGATCCGGAACCCTTAACTCTACAGCCCTAAACCCTACAGCCCTAAAACCTTAAAACCCTAAACCCAAAAAGTAAACAGGCATAGCAGCCGAGGTGCGCAGGTCCGCTGAACAACGGTGACCTGCACTGCGACTGAGCCAGCTTGAGCACCTCGGGTGTTGAGCTATGCCTTTTTTTCTCCTTTTGGGGTTTAAGGTTTGAGGGCTGTAGGGTTTAGGGCTGTTGAGTTAAGGGTTCCGGATCTAACTCAAGGCTTCTTGAACTTTACTTGTCTTCCTTGCATGCTAAACTTGAGAGGCAGTGCCACGACCTTCAAGGTGCTGGCCGCCTGGCGGATGTCGGGTTTAGGGGCCGGCTGTGTCGAAAATTGCAGCTTCAGATGAAGTACAGAGACACAGGGGTTATGTAGGGCTAACGGAAAGAAAATGGAAACTATTATTGTATATTGGGGGGTTATATAGGAATGATGGAAAAGAATATGGAAACTAGTATGGACAAAGATTATACTCAAGGCGTTAGGATGACTGTCGCCTTTGATAGGAGTCCAGAGATGTTTATGACTATTATTCTTACATTTTCATTAGTATTAAACTTATTCTTCTTCTTGTTATTATTGCTATTACTAGTATTAATGTGTACATTACTGTTATTATTGGCTCCATGAGGTGAATTTGAAATCCTTTGCTGGAGCTTGAGCTACCGGCCTGACATCCCAAGGTTGAGCTGTCTATATGAGCATATATGTATATATGTGTGTATTCATATAAAATGTTACATGGGTAGTCCCCTAAATTAAGGTTCCAATTTTGGTACCCCTAAATACTAGGTGCCGCAATATAGTCCACAAAGCAAAGGGGCCCATAATTCTAGAACAACCGACATATTTCCACTCTTTTTTTCGAGTCTGGTCAGAATTGTTGCAGCAAGTAATCATGGATGGGTCCCTGAAGCCACGCAGAACTCCAGGGGCTCGAACTGTGGGTGAAGATCCAGAACCGTGGGTTGGTCGGTGAGGCAATCCTTACACTTCTTCTCAGCCCTGCGGAGATAAGGATTCCCCAAATGTCTTCTGATGCTGTGGGATTTAGGGGCCTGCTTGAGCCACAAGCAGTCGAAACCGCTGTACCATTTGGTGCAAGATCTGTCTGATAGTGGTGTTCCACAAAGCAATGTAACACACTAGTCCGGATCGGCCTCGTGAGGAGATTGTCGCAAGGCTTCGAGCAGAGACTTGTGATTTCGCGGTGGCTACGTTGCGCAAGATGTTCCAGCCTCGAGCTCGGACGTCGTAGGAAGGCGATTTCCTTTTTGCAACATTCTGGCCCAAATGATGTATCGGTGGTCCGTATAATTTTTGTCTTTCATGGCACTTCCCAGTGCTCCTGTAGATGCTTCTCCTCCCGCCCGGCCCTACTTCCACCACCTTTCTAATGCACACGCTCACCTTGCGGTACCATTCCAAAACCTAAGGTCCTGCTCTCCAACCTCCTGCAAGGTGACGTTGAAGGCCACAGAAACCTAGGGGGGGTGCCGTATCCATGTGCTTCCCGATGAAAACCCTGCCATGTCTAGTCTTCTTTAGATAGCTGAAGATCTTGAATGGAGAGCCTCAGATTAGCTAGACTCAGGCCTGTCAATACGTCGGTCATACACTGGACACCGTCATAGGCTTGATGATGTTATGCATTCCTTGAAGCTGCATGTCAGAGTGATAGAGACCAAATGCAACGGTCTACAGCTGTAGCATGCCTAACCTTCCTGTCTTAGTTGGCCGTACCATAGTCAGGATGAAGCGGGTCACGTGAGGTATGTGAACGATAGGCCAAGACTTGCTGGTTGTTGGTTGGGATGAAGTAGGGACGACAAAATTCAAAACCACGCTTCATGTTTTGGGATTGTATAGGAGCTACAACACGGGTCACTTTCTCCATTCGATAGCTAACGGCACATGGCAGTGATCGTCCATGGTCATCCACCCAGGTGCCAGCATAGCCTCCAGCAAATAGTATTCCCACCAGTTGGGCTGCAAGCTAATTATCTTCAGGTTTGAATGTCAAAGTCCGATTCGCTTGAGAGCGTTCATTAGTTGGATAGGGATTTGGGATGCAACGGCGACCGGTGCCAGTTCTTGAGTTGAAAGTCAGCCGATGCCATCATCATGGCTATTGTCGACTCTTCTTCCTGTGTTGCGCCCGTGTTTAGACCACTATCATGCGTCATGCGCCTCGTCATTGCTGCACCACGTCACGTAAGCTTAGCACGCTAATCATCAAAATGTATGATTCGTTGGCATTCAGTGGATCACCTACTGTACTCTCCGAGGTTTTCTCTGTAGGAGAGGTGATGGTCAGGCGTATTGGATCTAAACCAGCTTTAAACAATTAGCGTCCTTTATGCGAATCATTGGCAGCGTTTTGCCTACACCATTCAACATGTGTTGTAGTTTATTCGCGCAAGTACTAGCGCGCCAAGTAGTGTTCGTGCTTCATTGTTCGCATCACTCATGCCTTGGGTCATGCTGCGGTTGAACGTGTTTGAAACTCATCGCTTTTTCCTGGCGCCGCAGCTATGAATTACCCCCATTTCCCTGCCGGCTTCGCGGAGGCCATGCAGGAGGCACAGCGGCCCGGCCGAAGCATCGGCGAGGTGCTGCAGAGACCTGGCAGCTTCAAACAGGGGAAGATTGGAAGCATAAGAGGAGAAAGAATTGTAGTTACAACAACCTTGGTGGTGGGTGGTGCTGCGCTCATGAAAGTGGTGTTAGCAGGGGCTTGGGTGAAGGAGGAGGAGGAGGCGGTGGTGCCGCTGTATGCATGGACATACCTAGCCGAAGCCCTCAGCATAAGGGGTATGGAGAACCATGGAAGACATGATTACCTTCTTTCTTCGCCATTTGGCTGCGCACTGGACTGGATGGCAGGTATATGCTGCAAAATCCTCAAGCCACTTTAATGACGTTGAGGTGAGGGAACATTGGGATCCTGTTTGTTCAATACTCTTCCATCAGCAACGCGTCCGCAACTTTGACAGAGGAGTTTTGAAAAAAAAAGCATGATATCTAGATCGCCGGTACCATGTCAATCATGCAACAGCTCCTTCTCAATGGTTTGGATAGATTTTCCAGAATCTGAAAAGGGCGGCCGTAAGCTGTCCAAGACCATTACGCATCGGACCACTTTGTGGAAGCAGCTGTGCAACGTAGCAGCTGAAAATGCATACCATCAATGGACAGCGCTGGAATTTCTCGCAACATGCCCAGGATGGAGTACCGCTTGTCCCAGAGATTCACAACGCGTCCACAGCCGTTGTCAGACTTCTTTGCACCTTGGATATGTCCTGGTATGCCTGGTTTTACACTTATGCATTAACAAGCAGCTTTTCTTTCCAGGGCGGTCAATTGTTGTGGCCGATAGCAGCTACTCCAAAGCATAGAGATGGTTTCCCACTAATACCCACTAATTGCTACGGCTGGCATGTTGGGTGCTCTTGACTCTCTCTTGCTTGGCTGTGTTTGCTTGCTACGACGTCTTCCATCATTCGCACGATTGCCGGGACCTGGCCCAGAAAGCCTGTTCTCGCAACAGGAGTTGACAACGTCAGTCTTGTTGTGGCAAATGATGCCTCAACATCCATAGTCACCGTGGTGTCTGCCATTTCTTGCACCTTGCTTCATGGTTGGGTAGTGCTCATAATATGGTAGTTTCCCAAAATAATCGACCCGAAAATGCTATAGATCATACTCCTTATTATTTGCTATTATTTGCTCCCAAGCAAGGTAACCCCTCCCCAATTTTTTGGAAAACAACCCTATACAATTTCAGTCCCTAAGTCTACCCTCGCGGCGGTTTCCGGCAGGAGTTTTCTCATAAAGATTATACTTGTCTAAGCTCCTTAAATGGATTATTCTAGGGGTTATCTAAGGGGATTGTAGGAGTTTCGACTTCAGCTCATATAACCTCCCTGCAATGTTTGTGGACCGCCCGCCCTCAGATGCCGGGGAAGCCTGTTAACGTAGAAGCCGGAATCAGTACCAATAAGTAATGATTACTGCTCCTTGTCCTAATCCGTGTAGTGTAGGAAACACCAAAACCCCGCTCTGCTTGGCTGTCATTACCTGGGCCCAAACATGAGAGTTCTTCTGTTGGAGCAAACAAGGAGGGCATTCGGGCCGTTCTGGTAGACAAGGACCGGAAGCAGTTCCTTGGTGGCACTTGGGATAGATATCCTACAGGGACTGCGTCGAGATTCTTGGGAGATATTGTGGGAGCTATACGGGGGTACCAGGGATTCTCGTATCTGTGCAGGGTGACGCCCGGGAACTTTACTTTGTTGTTCCCGCCCTGCGCTGGCCTATGTTGCGTCATTAGAGGGGATTTCCCCACGGGCCCCCTGTGATACCTTTACAACTACCGGCAGACCCATTTGCAAGACCGTTTGAAAGCACTCCCACACTTCCATTTGAAAGCGTTCCCTCGTTTCCGCTCATCAGCCCCAACGCAGCTGCAAGGAATTGGAAGCCCTCCTGGGACGAATTGCACGAGGTTTCAGCGGAGAAGGCACGCTCCCATGTTTCAAGAACATTGCTTCTTGTGTTTTTTCACAGGAGTCGAGTCGGGACCCTTAGTCTATGCAAGCTCTCGGCATTCCAAGCTGCGAGAGCACAGCAGTGGGTGAGATTATGTATTGTTGCAGAGACAGCGGATTGGGTAGTGGCAATGGTGCCGGTGGACTTTGATTATGCTCATGGTTGTGTTGCCAGAGATTTTGATGATCCTTGCCATCATCGTGCCTGTAACACCGTGGTTGCTCCTTCAGTGCGGCGCTGCTGTCATGCTTGATGCAGTTCCTATTGCTGTAACTACGTCCCCCAATACCTGGCAGGTTTCAGAGTTCTTCTCGCCCCTGGATGCTGGCCACTCTCGGGGGGAGTTGCGCTTGGAGGATGCTCAGAGTGAGGTTGAGTTGAACTGAAGCTTACTGGGTCAATCCTTCATCACAAATACCATCATGAAGACGACAGAAAATTGTGGCCAGAATTAGTACCAGTGAAGCACGTGTGCACCACTGGGAGGCGCTCATCGCAGTAATTTCTGTCTCCCTCATGTAGAACTAGTCGTACCTTCTTAGCATGCTTTGTAGTTTGAGATACTCTGGTAAACATGAGCCCCTGCAGAAGAGTGCAGCAGCCTTTGAACCATAAACCGTGACTGTCACGTACCAGCGGGAGCTCTGCCAGAGGGTTAATTTTGGGCCACGTCCTGAAAGTTCAGCTCCTTGTTGCAGTAAGGGCCCCCTGCTGTTGAGACATCCCCCTGTGTCCGATGGTCTAGAGGGTTGAGGCAGGTTGACGTGCTTGTCATAGCATGCTCAATGGGCCTTATGGCCTACGGTTGGGGCTCATTTGCTAACATAAGAGCTTTTCAAAGGTAAGGACATATGTCGGAATTACAACGATATTCAGGGGGGTTCCTTTTCAGCCTTCGTAGTGGCAATTTTGGGCAATTCTTTTATGCCTGCAAAGATGCATGGATGAAGACCTCAGCCCTCAAGCGAGTGAAGTAGTATGTTTTTTTCGATGGATCAAACGGGTCAAACGGTCCCCAATAGAGACCCCAATTCGCGTGCCTGTTGGTCTTGGTGTACTCTTATTGGGCCCAACCGCCCACAACAAGCACTACTCTCATCATGCTGCCCAGTAAGCCCGGAGCCCTCCAATCCTACACCCCCTTGGCCAAAAGCTTTAAACAGGTGCCAAAGAGCGGCAACAAAACCCTGAACCCATGTGAGCTGTAGTCTAAACTCCTAGTATCCCCCTTAATAACCCTTATGGTAGTTCCCTATATAATCCCCTATATAACCCCCCTTTAAGGAGTTTAGCCTATGGTTCATGTGGTGCCGCCTCACCAGGACATTTTTGCCTTCAGCTTCCCGGCAAAAAGTTGCTACGGGGCTGACTGCACTGAGGGCCAGTGCAGTGTTTCATGGTAGAGACGCCCTATTCCACAATATAGTATAGCATGATACATTATACTCTAAGGTATCATTATTATAATACCCTATTTATACCATAATATACCACAATATACCCCAATTTTGAGTCCTGATAGCTAGTGCCTCGCTTCTGAAAGCATCAGGTGCATCCAGACGATCAGCCTTCCCTGAGGTGCATTTAAAGTCCAAGATGTGAGCGAAAGTCGAAACTCCTTAAAAGACGGTTGCAGAGGAGGATTCTATGGGGGACTACTATAGGGCTTATTCAGGGGGATACTAGCAGCTTAGACTAGAGCTCATGCGAGTCTCCACCAAGCAGAGCGCGTGGTGGGTTTCTATGGGCCCTGGCCAAGACAATGAAGGCAGCAGAGTTGTTGTGATGTGGTGAGTTTTTCATGTGAGGCTCAGGTAGGCATGTAGGAGCACCTTAGCGTGGAGCTCCGGCAAATGCTGGAAGTGCTCTAAAGTGTGGGTTTCTCAGAGATGCACAGGCTTGCCTTGACAGAAAACAGCGGCGCAGTGGCATTCAAAGATGCAACAGGGGCGCTTTACGGATTATGCCTTTGATCTATGATTTCCGAAATCAGTGGACTGCACAAGTCGTCCTGTGACTGGTAAGTTGGCAAGGCTTTGCTCATGCAAGGGAGCAGGTTCCTGCATCTTTGGCCCTGACCCCTAAAACCCAAAGCCAGAAATCATGGATCATCGCAGGATACGGCATTCGACCAAAGATGTCAGCGGGGAGGACATGCTGCAGGCCATTGGGTAGGCTGACACTACAACCTGAGCAGATACTTTTTCGGTGTAGTTGCGCCGTAAAGGAACCAGATCTAGCGGGAGTGTGTGCGGCCTGCTTCAATAAGGCTCCTGCTCTTTGGTTTCTATATAACAAGAAGGTTTTCATGTCAACAATGAATACTGCCTGTCCAAGTAGCCTGGACCTCCCAGCGGACACAACGGAGGATCATGCAAGCTTGCGCACCTGCTGTCATCTGCTTCCCAGTTCTCGCAGATCAGTACGGTCTGGTAGCTGGCTTGTTAAGAGGTGCGCGAGATTGACAACGCCCGCGCTCGGTTGCTGGCAGAGGCCATCTATGCAGCTTTCTTATTCGAGCCACGATAGTACTCCGCAAGAAGGGTTCCACAGGCTGCTAAACTCTGTTGTGATGTATGGAATCACCTGTCATTACGTCTGTTTGCTTACTTTTGGATGTACAGCAGTGGGGCTTTGCCGCAGCTTTTAGTGCTCACAGCATGCTGCCCCAGCAGAAGACGCAAGGGACAGATCAAATGCAGATGGGGTTCATGTGGGTGTGTCAGATATAGGCTTTTGGGAACCAATATCCCCAGCTACAAAGCTCAAGTTATCTAAGTGGTCCAGGCTTTTTGGGATCTTTTGGAGCTTTGCTATCCGTTGCTGCGGCCCTTGCTTCAGGCACGCCGCCGTCGCTAGAGCGTGTGCTTTTTTTTTTTTTTTTTTT